TATCGTTCCTCTTTCCATTTCTATCCATATCTCTGTCTCTTTCTTTTTCAACTCTCTGATTCTTTACAAAATCTTTCTTCTCAACTCTTCTCAAGGCGCGGCCGAATGGAATCATCGAGATAAATTAAAAGTTTCCAACATTCTTCTATAATATTTAGATAAATATATTCTACGAAACGATCCCATATAAAACTACAAATGATATATGTGCATTCTTAAAGACAAAATCTTTAAGATCTAAGACTAATTCTACCATCTCATTCAATGAAACAATGCACATAAATATCGTGATAACTTTGACTTTGATCCTCCTTTGAAGTATTTAAGAATTTTTGTATTTCATTTAACACAAAAAAAACACTCATGAAAGTTATTAAAACGACGCTTGATTGAAGCACTAATACAACTTTCACACCCATCAAAGTTATAGCTAAAGTATTATGCTCTATGTTTACCATCGTAACATCAAGTTTTAACCCTCTCAAGTAACTTACATTGAATGTTAAACCCCTTTGTTCATCTATTTTTTTTTTCATATCAGTGAACACAAATCTACGGAAATAAAAAGAGTCAATCTTTAGATAATGATTATCAATGACATTTTTATTAAATGATTCTAATTTTTAATAAGATTAACATTTATATGTGGCACTACCATAATCCTTATAAAAATTAATAGAACTTAAAATGGTTTAATTATTTTACTACTTAATAATAATTTTACGATGAGCAAAATAGTTTTTAACCCATCTGTATTTCTTTTTTTTTTTGGTAGGCAACCCATCTGTATTTCTATTACACACAAATTAAATTTCTATTTTTTGTTAACAAAAGAAACATACATTTGTTAATTAAATAATTTTAAAATTTAAAATACTGTACAATAATGCGAGAGATAATTATTAGGACATAATGTCACACATCGGAAGTTGGAAGGGATCTTAAGAAAATATAAGGGATATGAGCCACTCCACTCATTGCCAATTGGTTTTGAGTTGGAAGCCCATATTCTAATATGGTATCAGACCCCGATCCACACATGTCCAACCCGATCCGACCCAAAGATGGTCCAATCATCGACAAGGCCCAAAATTGATACCGTCGATCTAAGCCCGAACATTCCGAGATTAATGGTCAAAGAGCCATCATCTCGAGGGGGCGTATTAGGACATAATGTCACACATCGGAAGTTGGAAGGGATCTTAAGTAATATATAAGGGATATGAGCCACTCCACTCATTGCCAATTGGTTTTGAGTTGGAAGCCCATATTCTAATAATAATATGCCAATGGATTTCTTATTATCTCTACAAAAGACAATTATAAAATACACAAAAAAAGTTGAAACTTATAATAAAGGAAGGTTAAGTCATTACGATATACTATCAAAATAAATTTGGTTTACTTCCTCAATAAACTATTTATTCTACTATCGTTAGTAATTAATATGACCAATAATAACATTATATATAATATATGTATATACATATTTATTTATAAACTAAAGATCAAAACAAAAATATATCACAAAAATTATTATGGACTCCGTTTAATAATGGACAATAAACTATTTATTAAAATATCGCACAACTCATAACAAAACAAAAGTTAAAAAATGCACAACATGTCTCACTCGAATACCAGCCAAAGTTCATATTCGTACACGTATTAGCGAAGATGTCTTCTCCAAATAAGTCTTCGTATGTGTATAACGGTGTTTAGTTCACGCTACTACTCTTAAGAGGTTAGTTGTTCACGCGACTATCTTCTTCATTTGGAAAAAAAGAAATATCAGAGTTCATGATAACATCTCAGCCTCCTCCGCTTCTGTCTTTTCCCAAATTAATAGAAGTATAAGGGACACACTTCTCGCTCGTCGGTATCGCAAAGGTTGTGGTCGACTTCTATCCCAGTGGTTTGCTCATTCCTAGTTTCCTCTAAGTATTCCTTTTGCTTAGTTGTTTTAGTTTCTTTTTTTTTGGTCATAGTACCTCTTTGCCCCAGAGCCTTTGTATATAACAATGTTCCTTTCGGTAATATAAATTCACATTTTAGCAAAAAAAAAAAACGGTGTCTAGTTCATACGTAGCTAATTAATATAATCATTTCATCAATCTCTTCTCCTGTCAAACGACCTTTATCGTTCGTTATTGTAATTGACTGTGACATCTTTGGAACTTTGTCTTCGGTGTTCACTTGCAGAATCCCATTTGCGTCCACTTCGAAAGTCACCTCCATCTGTGGCACCCCCATGAAAAACTGTTCCTTGCGTCTTTAAAAAACCAAGAACCGAAATGGTTTAGTAGCCAATATTGAATTAGAGAGTTTACCTAGGTGCAGGAAGAAGGCCGGTGAGCTGGAAATTTCCGAGCTAGGGGTTATCTTTCGTCATGCTTATCTCTTCATAGACGTTGATAGTAACAGTAGTTTGCTGATCTTGGTAAGTAGTGAACACCTGAGACTTCTTCGTTGGGATCCGAGGAATAATGTTTGTCATCACGCCTCCGACAGTGTCAATACCGAGGTGCAAAGGCGCAACATCAAGTAGCAAAATATTTGTTTTCAAATAAATTTAGGTTTTCTGCAACTCAAATACATGACTAACATGAAAACACTATAGATGGTCTAAACTATTGTCATAAAGAGAGTTAAAAAGAGTCACTTACTTTGCGTTTCTTCTCCACCTTCACCACTTAATACTCCACCTTGGACGGCGGTTGTATAGGCCAAAACCTCATCAGGGTTAGTTCCTTTGTTGGGTTCCTTGCCATCGAAGAAATCCTTTAACATCTACTGAACTTTTGGGATTCGAGTGCTTCCTCCAAATAAGAATCACAAAAGAAACCTTAGATACCCAAATGAAACAAATCCTAATATTTTTGGAGAATTTATTCATGAAATGATGTATGCTTGACTAAAAGGAGAAAAATACCACGTTTACAAACTTTTAAAGAGGGAAACATTGGAACCCTAATCTAAATCCATGATGAAAATATTAATTACCTATCCAACCGGTTCATAAAAACTTAGGGTTTACACACATCCAACCTACTCTTTCGTATTCACCCGATGACATGTTTGCTAGAACATGGCGATGATCAACGAAACAACGAAGTGGACATATCCTTCAAAACAATAAAATTTAATATTAGATAATACCAGATCTAAAATATAACAAATAGACGACAACACAAATCCCACCAAAAGAAGATCGTGGAGATTCATATCCAGGCTGATCCATGGTGTCTTCCAGCACCGGAGGAACACCAGCATACGAACTTGACATCAAAGTGAACAGCTTCAAAATAACCTGGTCACCGGATTTCACATCCTCTAAATTATTTCCAAAACTTTAATTCTTCAAATAAAAATCCATTGGTTATCCTATACATCATAAAATCTTCTAATTTCTTACCTAATATACGTACCTTTGCTTCTTAATTATCAATACCTTTTTGAGAAATCCCAAAGATCCTTGACCAAAACAAAAGAGACAGTTTTTCTGAAAACCGAATAGGTGAGACAAAAAACCTTAGAAAACAGAAGCAGTTAACATATATAAGAGAAAATCAAAGAAGCTTTTTATTTTATTTTATACCTTTTCCGTTGCTTCCTTCCTCTACAACTTAAAAACAAAAATTAACCCACTTTATTATATAATTAACTCACTTGAACATGGATAATGGAACCGTGATTTGAAGATGAAGAGAGAAAAGGGAGACTTGATAAGAGCTATTGGTGTAGTTATAATCGCTAGATGGTACTCCTCCTGAGGTTAATAAAAAAAAAAAAAGAATTCGACTCACATGTTATATGTGTGAGATATATAGAGATAAGAGACTCATACAGTTTAGGAACGCAACAGTTTAGGAACGCAACAGTACGAAACAACTTGTTAAAAAACAAACAACAAAGATAGAAAACATGAATCGAAATAATATCAGTTTTGATTCTACCTACATGGTTCCTTCTTCTTTTCCTATAAGCCTTCTCTGATCAATATATCCTTTTCTTTCTCTTTTGATTCTTTTCACGCTTCCTTCTTCTCCTTGTCTCAATGTCTTCTTCTTCTTCTTCTTCTTCCTCTTTCTGTTTGTCTTCTCCAATATGCTCTTTCTTTTCTTCTTTACTTGCTACGGTGCCAACGTGATCACGTTGGCGATAACATAAGAAGGCTCACAAATTTCAGTGATCTCCAACGTGGCTGTGGTGGTGATGAACTCAACGACGGCGGCTTGGATGCACAATGGATATCAGATTCAGTTTCTCTCTTGAAACTTTATGGCTTAGGGTTTGCTTGAGTTGAGACTCGGCGGTGGCGGTGTCTCCGGCTATGACGATAGGAAGTTAATGTATTTATAGGAGGTTAAATATGTGTTTCTAGGGTTTACGATTTAACATATAGTCGGTGTAGTTGTATATTTTGTTCGGCCCATATTGGTTAAACGGATTACACAATGTGGCCTTTTATTTTAACGAAAATCATTTAATATAATTAGATTACGTAAAATCAAGGACTCAACAAGAACCGAGAGTCCGACACGTCAGCAAAAACACTTCTCAAATATTGTTATATATAGATGATTTTCAACCTAAACAAATGGTTCCATGGCAAAAAAGATAAAAACATGGAAGCATAAAATAACCACTATTTTTGGTCCATCCACTCGACCATAGCAAAGGATACTACGGGAGATAGATGAAGCGATAGACAATTTTGTTGTTCTTCCTTTGAGAGCTGCAAAAGGAGAAGGGCAAGCGCAAATTATGATCGCCGAGCTGCAGAAGACAATAAGCTTTAGAAGCCTTTCACAGGAGGTCCGAGACCGAGTTGTCAACGGAGAGGGACTCCAAACCCTTGCTCACATTCCCTCCCCTTGAAAAGTGAGAGCGATTCTTCATCCAAATCCATGAGCTTACCAAGAACGGAACCTCACAAAACTAAAAATGCCAACAGTGTGTGCTCCCTCTACCAAGTTCACCCAAAGTCGGCTAGCGCAGAGCAAGATTTAAGCCAAAACACCACCACACCAAAAGCCGATAGCCTTACTAGCTCCTCTAAAGCATCATCTAAAAGCAAGCAAATGACGAGAACGTAGAGCGAAGCTTACTTCATCCTTTACACAATAACAAAAAGCAAACCACAACAAAACCAGGCCTTGAACCAAATCAAAAGTCTTGAAATACAAGTGATGTTCTCAATAGTAGACGACAACTAGAAACCACCGATAACTAAATCATCCACAAATCAAACACCACAGCAGCCACACGAAAGAGCAAAAGAGAATCTGATAAGGCGATAGAACTTGACCTGCAAAGAGGAAATCACTCTCCTAATGATTCTGCCACTGTCCATGAGCAGAAGATGCCAACAGAGAAGCGCTTCTCCAAAAAGCCAAAAAATGTCGCCACAAAAACTCAGACTGAACTCAAACAGTAGCCATGCCCTGCAGCCTAGGTGACGGAAAAAAGACAGAAGGGCCGAGGCAACAGAGACTCCGATAGTCGAGAAGCCACCAGCAAAGCTGGAATCCAAACGACAAAGCCGCTGAAAACCCCTCAAGACAAGCTTCCATCACCCGAATCGACAAGCTCGGGGTGGACAGAAGCAACCCGCAGCCGGGATAAAGCCGTCCTCAAACAAAATCCCGTTTGTGCGAAGCTCATAACCGCCGGTAGACACGAGTCAAAAACGCGACGGTTAATCCAAGAGAGGCCTTGGAAAATGCGAAACCAAGTAAGGTGGAGAGGCGACACAAAAGCACCGCCGAGAGCCACCACCGGAAACACCAGGATGAAGGAGACCTGCAAGCAGATTTACAAACTGAAAGCTTGCTCCGCCGCTTGAAAGCTAGTCGCAAGAGAATGAATCTCGCACCGCCTAGATCTATCACTGTCTACAAGGAATAGAGGCCGTGCAAGAGAAACCGACCACCGGAAAACCGGCCGACACGCACAGCAGACCTTCATCACTCGCCGCGAGCACCAAGGCTGAATCAAAACCTCAGATCTCTTCAAGTGCACATATGGGAACAGACAGAGAGACCTAGAGCCCTCCCACGGCACCGGTCGCAACCGGACACCGGAGAGGCAAGCAAAGCTGACGGCGAGCGAGAGTTATTCGGCGAGAAAGTGGAGAGAAAAGTCGCCCGCGCGTGAGTTCACGCGCCCGACTTTGTGGTTTTTTCTTGAAAGTTGAGCTTGACTGAAAGCTAAAGTTTCAATTCATTTGTCTTACTATTTCTTTCGTTCAAACAAAATGAGAGAGCATCTTTAAAGGGCTTTGTTAAGAAGAAGTTGCAAGAAATGTTTGGATTGAATTTATTCAAAAAGGGGTTTGTAGATTAATTTAACCGGAGAAAAGCTTAATAACATTGACAATTAAGTTAAGAACATAAGAGAAAGCCTCATGTAATGGTAAGCATGGATGAGACCAATAATGATTTGGCCTCTAAGAGAGTTTCTTTTGTCGGTTTGGTGGAGTTCAGCGAGCGTCCATCCTTGGGAGCTAGAAAACGGTCTTCGTTGAGGATAGCCAGTGCATTTGCAAATAGTAACAATCCTTCCATCAGTGTCCAGAATCCCATGATGATTTCTCTGTGGAAAGAATTGAATACAATCAAGAATCATGCAGAGAAATCAAGCTGGAGCTGCCAGTGATCTGAGAGAGAAAGAGGAAGATGGTAATTGAATTGAGAGTTTTATATGCAAAAGACAATTGAGATTTAAAACTAAAACTATCAGCACAAATCTTGAATCTGTGACACTTCATCAGCCTGTCATGAACTTCTTAGACGCCCAACCCCTAATGAACAAGCTTAAAGCATCAGACCACAATACAACGTGAATCAAGAATCAACAGATCTTAACCAAAACACTTGGGATGCAAATTCATATTCTACTTAGGTCAAATTTTTATAAGCATATGCAGAATTAAGATCAGTAGTTCACACGCTAACCAACTTATCTAAGGAATAGATTGAATCAAGTTTCAAGATTTTAACTAAGGGGAAACAGAATCGGTCAAATCTCTGAAGAATATATCTTGAACGGAACTAAGAGGTTAATATCAATACAATTCTGCTGTTAATTTCGCATGAATCTAACGAGCAAACGAATAATTGGATTCTAGATTAGGTGAAAATAAAAACAAGACCTCGTGGCTGGATTGATGCAAAGATCAAGAAGGCTTCGAAGAAGAACCATCGTCTTTGTCGCCGGAATCAGCGACGAGAATCAAAAGCTCTCGATCTCTTTCACAATTGGCCATCACAATCGCCGGCTTCTCGTCTCCCATAGCCGAAAAACTCAAGTCGGAGAAGAAGAAGAAAAAAGAAGGCTAAAGAAGAAAGGGGCCAATAAGATTAAAATCCTCTAATTCTTTTTTGTTTTTTTTGTTTAACCTAACGATCTATTTCTCTTCTAATTCTTTTTTGTTTCTCTATTTTTTTTTTTAATTATGTTATTACTTAGAAAATTTTCATTTTCCCGGCTACTCCTATGATAACGTTTTTATAGTCATCATTTATGCTACCGTAGAACAAAAAATTAGGCGCCACTACAAAATGATTTCGCGGTCATCCTACCATAATGTTTGCCTTTTCGAAAACGCTATGAAAATTTTCTCGAAACTCAACTATAGCAGAACCATCAAAAACGCTATTATGTACTACTATTAATACCCTTATTTTCTGTAGTGATAAGACGAATACGTGACAACTGACAAGTAAGAGCGGATTGTGTTTGCCGTACGTGCTAGGTTGGAATGAATACCATTTTCAAAATGTTGGTAATTAAGCTAAAAGAACCTAAGATCAATTTTCTTTGTACATCCAAAAACAGAATCGAATGCTAATGCCTAAATTTTCCTTTAATGAATTGGAGACATCTAGTAGTAGTACTGACAAAACACAATGATCATTAATGATAATCAGCCACTAAAGCAATTATAGTGGGACAAACACAAGAAAACCCAATGGAAGCATGAAACACGTTCGGATGAATATGGGACCAAAATATCGACAAGTTTTTAACTTTTGTCCTCACAAAAAGAAAGGAGATTTTTTTTTGTAGCTGTAGTGCAAGACCTACTGAACCAGGACCGGCTCAATTATTGACGAGACCCGATGCTAGACCTGTCTCAAAAAAATTAAAGGCCCTTAGACAATTTGTCTATTATTATAATTTAAAAAAATACCAAATTTGTTTTCATGTGGTTTTTAATTATAGAAATGTTATTCTCTTAAACTTGGATCTTTTCATATTGTTTTTAACAAAAATTTAAGATTTTTAAGGTATAATTTTTTATTTAGTTGGTTATTTTGTAAAAAAAAATGGGGATTTTTGTATGAAAAAAAAACAAAAAACAAAAAACAAAAAATTGATCCTAGGACCCTGTGGCCTAGCACTCCTAGCACAGGTGCTAAGCCGGGCCTGGTATGAACAAATATATTTTCTTTATATCTCCTATATATAATGTTTGAATAAATTATTTTGAATATAATAAAATAATAAATTATAGTTTTTCAATTATTCAGCTCAAGATAAATACGTAATTTCACTCTTCCTTATATTCAACGTGTCAAAACGGATCAAAGTGGATAGCATATATCAGTAATTTGTGGAATCTGGTCCTACAAACTTAAGATATTTTGTGGACTAGATACGTTAAACATTAGAAAATTATTAAAAGAATGACCTCTAAATCAAAACCACTTGTCATAAACAGTGACTCACATCATTATTTTAATAAATTCTCATCTTTTGTTTAACCCAGAACAAAGATTGTATAACAGAGAAGAACCCAGAACAAAGAAAACGGAACAGAAGAAGAGAGCAAAACTTGGTGATGTCAGCTTCCCGATGGACGTTGATGGATCTACCGTCGTATCTGTCGTCATCGTGGGCATTCCGGTGGCCGGAGGTGAATCTTTCATACCTGAGCTCTGGTTGGAACATGAGATTGTTGTCGTTGTCGGGTAATCTCTCCATAATCGATGATCTTTTGTGGAGTTTTGTCTCGATCGTTGAATCTTTAGCTATCGTTACTACGATCTGTTGCTTCTTCTTGTTTTGTGGTTGTACCCTTTAATTCCTTCTTTTTTTTCATTATTTGATTTTCTATATTTAGTTCCGAATTTATTAACCAATTAAAATCTCTGTAAATAAAATAATCAATGAATTTCGGGACTTTTCTAGCATTTTCCTTAGCCGTCACTTGAGTTCTTGAGTCTTCATAGATGAAAAAAATAGATCAACAATAGAAAATGTATGACACTTTATTTATAGATCAAAGTGATAAGTAACTAATACCAATTTGGTTTTGTTATAACATTCTCTTCCCAGTTTTGAGTGAGATTATTTTAGTACTGTTATTCTTGGTCAAAGGTGTTTCTTTAGTACTTAAATGATGATCTAAGTACAATCTAATAGTTGACAAAAGAGGGTACTAGCTTATACTTAGTTGTACACTAAACTTTTGTTTTGTCACTATGGAAGTGGAAAGACAATTTCGGTTAATTTGGTCCGGTTTTGTTCGGTTTTACGCATTCTACCCATGTCAATACTAAAGTCAACTGGATTTACCATGGTATTGGTTCAAATGTGGATTAAATGTGGGAGATTGAAGGATTCTTACCATCTGAGATTGAGCTTCAGCCTGATCATCGTTTTCGATATATCTTAGCGATATATGGAGACTCAGAAGCACTGATATTTTGTGTGTATATATGAAATTATAAGAGATAGTAGAATCAACTTCACCATATCTCTGTTTTGGAAAACATATATATATATATGAATGGTTGCAAAATACATAGCAAGTTCACTATATCTATATGTGGATAATCGGATATATAGAAGCTGAAGCAGAGACTTTTGCAACCATTTTGTCACATGGAGAGTGGAAGGTGACTTGTAGTGACTTGATGTCTTAGTTGCATTACGCCATCAAGTAAGAACTTGATACCTAGATAGCTGAGTGAAAAGTGTGAAGAATAACATGTTGGAACTCAAATTTTGACTAAGTAATGGGCATTATAACATTGTGTTTTAAAATAGTTTGGAAAGTATTAAAATCAAAATCAAAGTTAATTTGAATGAGGGTATAAAGTAGATAGTTTGGAAAGCTTATAAAACTTGTAATTTTAATTAAGTATTAAAATAAGCAAAATTCCACTTTTGAAGAAGGGAAAATTTCCTAAAATAGTTTTTACATAATTTTGGATAAATCTAGAAGTTTCTAGATTGCATCAAATATTTTCGTAATATTTCTTAATCTTCATCCTTGCGGAACAAGCCGGAATATTTCAGAATCCTAATTGGAACGATCGAGAATGAATATTTCCGAATCCTTATCAGAATATTTTCGAATCCTTATCCCTTTATAACTTGGGGATCAAGGTACTCCTCCCTATAAATAAAGACTTTGCTCATTCTCTGAAATCATCAGATTTTCTAAAACACAAGAGTTTCTAGCAAATCGCTCTCTTCTTCGTCTCTACTCCTTATTATAAGTAAGCCTCGAGAATATATCGTAATCTGGTTCTCAAGGAAAGAGAACATATCTCACCTCCGCGTATTCTTCTCTCCTTAATCGATTTCTGTTCGTGATTTTCAACCCAGGATTTTGCAGTCCTTACAATCTTAATTCAATAAATTCGTTTCGCTTATACCTTCAAACGGATTGAATTTTGCGAACAGTTTTCAATCGATTTTGAAAACGGATAACGGTTTCCGCAAAGGCCTTTTGGCAGATTCACGAATCGTTTTTCCAAAATAACTAGCAATTAAAAATAGCGTTTATGAATCGCATTTAAGGTTTCTGGAAACGTATATTACTTGAGTTCTAGTGATATTCACAAAAACTCAAAGCGAATTCTGAAACATTTTCTAGAAAACATGTTGTTCAGCGACTTAAATTATTTAATCGCTTATTAACATTGGATAATCTCAAACCAATATGACGGAAACGGACTTGTATTGTAGTTTTTAAAGTAATCGCTTATTAACGTTGTTTACCACATAAAGTCATTGACAAAATGTCATATGAATTTGAAATGGTAAAGTGCATTCGTACAAATACCTAAAACTATGGGGTGCTTTGTCGCAATACCACTTCATAAAAAGATCAAAATCAGACCTATGAAGGTGGATTGTTGATTCTTCGAATATGCACATTAGTAGTGTTATCTCGATGAGAAAAAAAAATTAGTGCGAGCATCATGTGCACATCATGATAGTCAATGGACTATAGCTTGGGCTAAGTTTGTGTATAATGATTTTTCATGTCTTTTACGAAAGATGACATGAAACCATGATCTCAAATTTTGTAATCTCACTAGATTGTATCAAATTTTTCCTGACAACCTAGGATCCATTTATTAAAGGTGTGTTTAGGAGATCAAGTTTTGAAACCATCATAGAGAATGAGTTTAAAGCCTATGACTTAACAGGATGTTTGATGGATACCCCACATACTTGACTGGAAATCCCAGAATATCGGTTCAAATGAAAAACTAAATCAAGCAGAATCTGATAAAGCACTGAAAGATGTCATGTCAATACCTAATTCTCCAAATGATCAATAGTGTTTCCACGAATTTACGAGGTTAAGCGTTGCTTTTAATGAATGAATCGATAGCTTTCATATATACTATTACATGATCCTTTATTAAATGATAGGGGCGAGTGGAAATCATCTAGTGAGTTTGAAATGGGGCCATTTCTAAGAAGATGAAGATTATCATACTATATTCTCCAAGTTCACTCATGAAGAACCAGACAAATTCAAAGCCACAATAAAGAACTAAGTTCTACACAGAAAAAGAATTGGGTTATACATGTTGTCTTAGTCTACATAAAAATATAGGTGGTTCAAGACATCATACCTCCTGATCCAATAAAACTAAAAGCTGCAAAAGTAATTTTGGGCCATTCATCAAAATTTACACAAATTTTCAATTTTTTGGGCTTTTATTTACACTACAATTTATTTTGGGCCACTATTCTAATTATATTTGTTTCCCAATGAGCCATTTTACATATATAGATTTTTGAAATGAGGATGTGCTTTAAAACGTGTTCACTTATGTTCACCCATGTATACGTTTGTATGAAAAAAAAAAAATCAAAACATATCAGACAACATAATATAAAATATTGAATCTATTGGAGTTAATATGTCCACAAAGGTATTGTATTTTTGATTTAAATCGTATAAAGTTTTCAAAAAATAAGCAAAAACCAAAAAAATAAAATCCAAAAGCATTATCACCTTTTAATTATTTAAAGTATATGTGTTTGTTTGTTTATTTTAGGAGTATAGATTCATCACCACTCCTATCATAAATTTGACATTAAAAAAAATCTAAACTTTTCTATCCTAAAAAATAAGTATGTAATTATTAAATGTAATTATTAAAAATAAATAGCTAATCAACGACCTAATACAAAATATTATACAGAAAAGTGGATAAATAAAAATAAATCCATCTTTAATACAAAATAAGTAACTAAGTTATACAAACCAAATATAAAAAAAAAGTAGAAATTTGTTGATGTCTTCTCCTAGCTCTTGGATAAATAACCGAACCGAACCAAGATTTTGGTTGTTCGATTCAGCTTTGGCTGTAGGTCTTGAACTGGTCGACAAAATGTTAAAGTTACTTTGGTTAACTGAGAACTTCCGTTCGATTTGGTTCTTGACTAACCAAAATATTTTTTAATAATCAGATTATACCACAATTAGATCGGTTTTACCAAATTTAAACCAGTTTTCTCCAATAACTGAACTAAACAAAATCGATTAATCTAGATTTAGCAGAAGAAAAAAACGATTTATCCAAAATTGACTACATTTTTAAACGAATTTATCAAAATTAATTTTATGTTTAGTTTTGAAACAAAATAGAATATTAAAGTAACCTATAATGTATAGCAGGAGCCATAATACTAGTATTTTACAATCTCTAAGTCAATTTAGACATTTTTTTAATTTTAGTTGAATTCAAATTTTTTTTTTTGTTAAATTCGGCTATGTTCAATTAGATCTTTTTTTTTTTTTCACACCCCATTGCTATGCATAGTGCGCTTATTTTTATGTTCACTAAATATTTAATCCATTTAAGTTATAAAAACTACGAAACTACGTTAGTCCATTTTTTTGGGGTAAACTTGATAGTTTTACATTATATTGGTAAGTTGTAGGAGTATAAGTTTTCGAATTACAATGTAAAACTATCAATTGACAAAAAAAAAAAAATTGGATCGAAGAAAAAAAAAATGTAAAACTATCAATTTTACCCCACAAAAAAAATTACTGTCGCCATTTAAGACCCTGAATAACTGGTGCCAATGATAAATGGGCTAACGTATACGTGTAGGGTGTAACTTTACGGGATGGTACGATTAAAGAAACACATTAGCAATAAGTAATAACTCTCCATAATATACAAAGCATGCTTTGTTTTGATACTTAGTTGGTGATGGAATAGGGTTGATGAGTAGCCTGTTAGAACTCCTTCTGTTTCTATTTTTTTAGTGATTAAAAGACAGACCATTATGGACATTACTAACTCTATGCCTTTTTCCTTTACTTTTATATTTAATATCAGCCATACATGACTTGCGTAGCTATCGCCTTCCTGAAAAAGACCTAAATCATATATGCACGCATATATATACACCTCCATACATCAACTTTATGATATATATATATGTGTGTGTGTGTGTTAAGTAAATGTCAAAGGATGAATCAAATAAAATGGATATTATGAAATATAAAGACATTAGATTAATTATATACCATAACATTTCAAAAAACAATTTATCTTGTAATGAATCATATTCTTGAAAAAAGCTTATGCTAGAAATAATACAGTTTGCATTTGGTTAAGGAAAAAGAGAAATAAAAAAATGATGTTGATTATGTTAAAATCAAATATCTACATGACTACAACTAATGGTGGGTCAAGTACGCATGTTAAACAGTGTTCTCGCTAATCCTAAAAGTCTTTTTGAATATTATTTGTGATGATTGAAGACTAACATAAAAGTCGCAGTGAAGAAAACTGTAAAAGAGACTTTGAGTTTAAGGCTAAAAGTTCTCTCTTTAATATCTTTATATAAAGATAAATATAAAGCGAACATTTAGTACCCATATGACTTAATTAGATATGAAATATATCTTGTATTATTTAGGCTTTTTTGGTTATCATTTTTAAAATTATATGTAGATGCTCGTTACGGTATATATACATTTAAATAAGTATGAGGGAAATTATAGTAGTTATGAAAATTGGGCATATGATAACATTAAATCAAGTATTTAGTTTCATATATCTCTAGCCAAGGATCACATTAGGTCATATAAGATTTTTTTTGTGTGTGTGTGTGTGTGTGTGTCATAGCATTGCATCTTGACTATAGTAGAAATTAAAACTGAAGTTAAATATTGTATTATCTATGTAACTATACGAATATATATGTATATATATTATCTATGCAAACCGAGATATCTTTGTATATAATTTACATCGAAGGGGATGGATAGAAATATAATAAAATGGAAGATTTTTGAGCCGGGCTATGTGAGATCATAGCATGATTACAAATTAGATGATCTAGAAACACGTACTATAATACAACTAAATACATACTATATAACTTGATTAAACTCTTCTCTCTCCGAAGTCTTAAAAAGTAAACGATACATCTTTATTAATACTCAAAAAAAAAATGAAGTTATACCTATATCACATATGCTACAAACCTCTGTTCCTACTTAGCGTCGATTGTTTATTTTGTGGTGATTAAACAAAGCCGATGCTAAATGTAATGAAGAAAAGACATTAGAAAGCCAGCAACATCGGTTTACCTAAACCGGCCAAAAACTCCTCATGAGACCTATCAACCGGATCCGGCCAAAAGAAAAAAAAAAACAATTGCCCCGGGAAAAAAAAGTTGCTCATTTCTTATTCTCTTCATTGGTTTGAGTGTTAATAGTATCGGATCTGATCTGCGAAGGAAGAATATCTTGAAGCAATCCATGATCTCTAATGGAAGAAGAAGTTGATGTAGAAGCTTGTGACATATCATAACCAAATCCGGGGAATGATGATGATGGCTCTGGATTTACGAAAGTACCATCGGATGAGCTTCTATTGATCATATTTAGAGAGTTGTTGTTGTACATGTTGTAGGGCTGGTGATGTTGAGTCAGCAAGTAACGTGGCTGAGGGATGGAGAATGATGATGATGACGCGGTGGTTGCACCGTGATCTAGGATTGGTGATGTCAGCATTCCGATGTGTCCACGTGGAGTCATGGGGAAAGGGGTGAGTTGTGTTGACCTTCGTAGGTTGTCATGACGATTGAAGGATCATCGGAGGATCTCTCCACTCTCTTCTTC